TGAACCCACAAGTTTACCTAAAATTCCAGGTTATCCTTGCCAAAATCCCAATCCACCAGATTAGCATTCTCTGTCTTTGATGGTCCTCATTGTCTTCCCCCAAAATATTAGCTTATCAGCATTACACTTATGCTTTAATTTTCTGGGGCCTCAATCCATAATGATTCGCAGAAAAGGGAGAATCATCATGGGATTTTGAAACCTGAGTCTGAATAAACGAAGGCCTGCCTACCACTTCTGGAAGGTGGCCTAGTATAGAAGAGGATACCCTCCTCCCCCTCCCCAATTCCAGAAGGTGGTCAGGTTAAACATATTTTTTTTATCTGTATGTATGAATTACAACATGACCCTTAGCAGTAGAAGTAATCTGTAGACATTGTTTGGCATGAGACATTAGAGGAGAAGGAAAGGAAAAACCCAGGGTCACTGAGAATCAAGTTTTCAGAATTTTTTGGCACTGACTGCCTTCAGTCCATGCAGAACCTCTATTTTAGGGAGAGAGGGAGGACTCAACAAGATAGCTCTCTTTCTCAAAAAGCTTTTATTTTGCATTTGACAATGGCTAAGGAAGCCTGTTTTCATTTTATTTTGCTTGGGGTACCAGTAAAGAAGACAGAATGTAAACTTATACAGGGGTCTCTGCCCTTTTAATAGTAAAAAGGTTTCTCATTTTTCACTAACCAAGGGAACAAAGAGTTTTCAATAAGCTTCAGAAGAGATGGCAACAGCTGTTACCATAGCAGCGATGCAAAAACAAGAGCATATGTTTCAATGCTCTGTTTCAGGCAACCTGGGAGGGCAGGTGATTAGTGGAACTAGCCTTCACTGAAGCCTGACCCCATGATCCCAGTGTCTTTTCTCAGCTGCATCCTTCTCCTGGATCCAAAGCTGTGTGATACAGTTTGCTTCTTCTTGTTTTCATGTATATTCCTTCTTTTCCCTTGATATTTCTACCTCGACCTGCTATCAGGATTGGCCCTGTCTCTTCTTTGCCTTCAGAGTACCCAAGGATGACCCCAAGTAGCCTTGTTCCTACAATGCCAACCCAGGCAACCATACTCAGCGTCAGATGAGTGCCCTGGCTCCCGTTTCCTAATTTCAAAACAATACGATGAACATTTATTCAGTGCTGATTATGTGCAGACCATTATACTAGGTTATAGGTATGAAGGGCAGAGTGAAACAAGTTAAGGTGCGTTTATACCTCAAGAAACTTACAATTTAAGAAGGAGATCAGATGCCAACCTAGGTAGCTCTACTGGAATAGAATAGAAAAACATTTATGTTTCAGGTATGTCCAGCTCTTTGTAACTCCATTTGAGGTTTTCTTGGCAAAGATACTTAAGTAGTTTGCCATTTCCTTCTCCAGCTCATTTTACAGATAAGGAAACTGAGGCAAACAGGGTTAAATGGCTTGTCCCCAGTCACACAGCTAATTAGCGTCTGAAGGCCAGATCTGAACTCAGGAAGATGAGTCTTTTGACTCCAGGCCTAGCACTGTGTGCACTATGGTGCCGCCTAGTTGCCCAGTATTTATTAAGAGCTTACTAAGTTGTGCTTCATTCTGGAAGAGGACCAATGATATCAGGAAGGTGTTGCCACGACTTGCAAATGAATTGGATTGAAGTAAGGGAGGGCTGTGCAAAGTCACCAGCCTCACTCTCTCCTCTGGAGCCATCTGGGTCCAGTGGCAAGATAAAGATCAGAACGACTGGAGATGGCCCCAGATGCAGTGGGAGACTTTGGCCTGTTTTAAGCTAAGGTCTTTCCAGGTCTCAGTTTGTCTGCAGTGACACCCATTCAGTGATTAAGGCTAGGTAAGAAATGAGGCAGAACACGGCCTTTTTATCTAGTCAAAAGCTTATTAAGTAGGAATTTGGCAAAAGAAGGAGGAGGGCCTCCTAGACAGAAAACTTGAGAATTAAGGCTGTGTACATTAGAAGACAGTAATGATTTGGGAATGGTCCAATTTGGCTGGATCACAGAGTGCATGTGGGTGGGGAGAAATATGAAATAAAGTTGGAGAGGTAAGTTGGTGACAGATTTTAGAGGAGCGCTAATGTGAGGCAGAAGAGTTTGAACTTTACTTGGTAGACAGTTGAGAGTACCTAAAGATTTTTGAACAGAAGAGTAACATGAGTAGATTTTTTCTTTAAGAAAAAAATTTCCTGGTAATGATATATGGCATGGAGAGAGCATGAACCTATCAAAGTGGTCCAGGGAGATGTTATTGAAGGTCTGTTAATAGAGTGATAGCAGGTTGGCTTGAGAGGGGAGAGAATACAATATAAGAATATAAGAATAATGGAAATGATCTGTACTTTTAAAAGCATGGGCATTGTACAGAATGTCTCACCAGAGACTACCCTGTATAGTTGGAATGGTGAATGTGTCATGAGGTAGTGAGTGGGAAGAGGGATGTATGTTTTATATGTGACATAAAATTGAACGTAAAAAATCAAAAGTTATGAAATGAAAATTATGTTTTATGAATGAATGACTGTTACTCATAGTAGTCTTCAGCACTTCAGATCATTTGACATGCTTTTGTTTGCCTTTGTAACACCTGAGAGATGTTACGGATCTATAATCAACAGGATTCAGAAACTGATGGGGTGTGAAGGAAGAAAGAGGGAAAAGCTAAAGATAACCCTAAGATTATGAACATGGGAAACTATATAAATGGTGGTGCCAAAGACAGATATAGTAAAGTCAGAAGGAGGAGCAGGTTTAAGTACAAAGACAATAAGCTTGGTTTTAGATAGTTCAGTTTGAGCTGCTGGTAGGACATTCAGGTGATGCACCATAGTTAGTTACAGATATAGGTCTGGAGCATAGAACATAGGTCAAGACTGGAGATATGGTTTGGGGATCATTCTGCATAAAGTTGATAACTGAAATGGTGCTTCGGATTAGATCTACAAAGAAGAGGATTGGAGAGAAGAAATGGCCAAAGAGAAACCTTTAGGAATATCTATATCAAGGGATTAGAGGATAATGGAGACAGAAAAGAAATAGTTAATAGGTAGGAGGCTAAGCCATTTTTGTAAATGTGGAGGGTAGAGGTGGTGAGAAGAAAGAAGAAATGGTTTCTAGCAATCACTGAGTAGAGTAGAGCCAATAAAAGTGAAGTCAATCAACAGCAAAAGGCATAACAGAAGAAATAGCATAGATTTGTAGTCTGTGAAGTGACTTTCTGATTTTTTTTTCTGTGTTGTTTGGCAGTCCTGGAGTAATAATAGAGCTGGTTCAAGCTCCTGAGGGATGATAATCTCTTGTTCAGGAATGGCAGATCATAGTAGTAACGGTTTCTAGGACATAATCTTAAAGTAGCAAAGTACGGGGTCAAGTTTGGTTATGGAGGCAAGTGAAGTCTGAGTGGGGAGATGAGCTATTGTTGTTGTTTGTCCTTCATTCTTGAAGAGGACCATGGCATCAAGAACATGATACCATAAAAGATAAAGGAAAGAAAAAAGGAAAGAAAGTGATTTTCTTCACTTCAGTTTGTATTCAAACAATTTCAATTCTTTCTCTGGAGGTGGATAGTATGCTTCATCATTAGTCTTTCAAGATTGTCTTAGATCAATGTATTGCCAAGAATAGCTAAGTCCTTCACAATTCTTCATTGAACAATATTGCTGTTACTGTGTATGGTGTTCTCCTGGTTCTGTTCACTTCACTATACATCAGTTCATGTAAATCTTTCCAGATTTCTCTGAAACCATCCTCCTTGTCATTTCTTATAGCACAATAATATTCCATTACAATCATATACCACAGCTTGTTTAGCCATTCCCTAATTGATGGGCACCCCCTTGATTTCCAATTCTTAGCCACCAATAAAAGAGCTGCTATAAATATTTTTGTACACATAGATCCTTTTCCTTTTTTTTTTGTATGTCTTTGGGATATAGACCTAACAATGGTATTGCTGGATCAAAGGGTATACACAGTGTTTTAGCCCTTTGGGCATAGTTCAGAATTGCTCTCTAGAATGGCTGGATCAGTTCACAACTCCACCAACAGTACATTAATGTCCCAATTTTCCACATCCCTTCCAACATCCATTATTTTCCTTTTTTTTTTTTTTGTTATATTAACCACTCTGATAGGTGTGGGGTGATACCTCAGAGTTGTTTCAATTTACATTTCTCTGATCAATAGTGATTTAAAGCATTTTTTCATATGACTATAGATAGCTTTGATTTCTTTGTTCATATCCTTTAACCTTTTATCAATTGGGAAATGATTTGTATTTTTATACACTTGATTTAATTCTCTATATCTTTAAGAAATGAAGCCTTTAACAGAGATACTTGTTGCAAAATTTCCCCCAGTTTTCTACTTTCCTTGCAAGTTTGGTTGCATTGGTTTTGTTTGTGCAAAATCTTTTAAATTTTATATAATCAAAACTGTCTATTTTACATTTTGTAATGCTCTTTATATTGTCTTTGGTCCTAAATTCTTCCCTTATCCATGAATCGACAGATAAACTATTCCATGCTCTCTTCATTTGTTTATAGTATCACCCTTTGGGTTTAAATCATGTACCCATTTTGACCTTTCTTGGTATGTGGTATGAGATGTTGGTCTATACCTAGTTTCTGCCATATTGTTTCCTACTTTTCCCAGCAGTTTTTGTGAAGTAGTGAGTTTTTGTTCCAAAAGCTTGGATCTTTGGGTTTATCATATACTAGATTACTACGATAATTTACTGTAATATAATTTGTACCTAATCTATTCTACTGATCCACCACTCTATTTCTCAACAAGTATCAGATTGTTTTGATAATTACCACTTTGTAAAACAGTTTGAGATCTGGTATGACTAGACTACCCTCTTTCGAATTTTTTTCATTGATTCCCTTGATATCATTGACCTTTTTTTTTTTTCAGATGAATTTTGTTATTATTTTTTTCTAGCTCTATAAAACAATTTTTTGATAGTTTGATTGGGATTAAATTGTCATTTTTATTATGTTAGCTTAGTACATGCTTACCTGCTTGTTTGATTTGTCCACTGATTGCCAGTCCGTTAATCCTTTCTCCCATTCTCATATCAAGAAGGAAATCTTTTTTAGGGCATACCCTTCGCAAAAGAGGTTCTTCTAATGGTGGCAAGACCATGATGAACTGGTTTAGGGTGGTGGTCAGAGATTGCCAAGTATGATTCCCAGAACTGGTGACTAGAAACAAGTAATTAAAATTAAGACAGGTCATGATAGCAGAATTGGGCATAGAAAGGAAACGTGGTTAGATACACCGGTCAGTTCTATAGACAGATTTTAGACAAGAGACTGGATAGTTAGCAGTAAGGATTGGATCAAGCAGATAAGGAAGGTTTAGTATGAGGTTTTAGCAGTACTGGGGAGAGGTCCCAGTGGGCTTGATTAGTTAAGAAATACCATGTGCTTAATGAAAGAAATACTTTATCCCTGGCAGTTGAACTCTTTTCTCCTTGGTCATCTGTTCCCTTAAGATGGGCCATTCTAGGCTCAGAGAGAGACACAGGGCCATTACAGCAGGGTCTTGTTGGCTGAAAAAAGAGGCTGGAGCTTCATCTATATAGATCTCCTGGTGCCTTTGTCTAGGTATAGAACCAGTTCCTTTTAGCATATTTGTGGTCCACTGAATTGTGGTTTGTGTCTTCTGTGAGCTCAGGTAATCCCTTTTTGGAGGAAGAGGTGAGAGAGCTTCAGGTTTCTCATCAGTGTCCTCTTTCTCTAAGACCCAGGAGCAAGGGCAAGATTCTTGGCTGCAGAAACTTTGTTCACAGCCTCACGGTGCAACCTTCCCTCTTTCCTAGCACCCTAAACCCTTTCTTGGGTATTTACCTGTTCAACATGTTGCCTCAGTAGGGTTTTTCTTCCTGAGAAAGCACCCACACACATATTCTTTCCTCCCTTTTCTAAATACCCATTAGCACAGGCACAGCTAGCATTTATTTGTTCAGGGAAGAAATAAATCATGTTAGTTTACTTCAGAGCATTAACAATTGATCTCAGCTTAATGTGTTTTCACTACAATGCCATTTAATTTAATTTTCCAAATGGAGGAGGTCTTAGGGGCCTTTGAGATCATCTAGTTCCATCTCCTCATTTTGCAAATGGGGAAATTAAGTCATTGAGAGATGAAGTCACTCACCCAAGTCCTAGTTCACACAGGAAATATGTAGCGAAGTTAGAATTTAACCTTAGGTTATTTGACCCTAAAGTTTTAGTGCTTTTGCACTACACACTCAGAGAGTCAGCTCTGAGACATAGTAACTCCCAAAGTTAAACTGCATTAAAAGTCGTGGAGTACAAAAGCAGAAGCAATTCAAATGAGGAAGAAAAAAGACTCTGATGATAGTTGCCCTGGGAACACATCCAGTACTGATTCTAAAAAGTAAACAAAGAAAATGGAAGTAGGAATAAAATTTCAAAAGAATGGCCCAGATTTACAAGAACTTTAGTCAGAGTCTTAAAGTTTGGTATCAGCTGAAGTTGCAATAAATGCTAAAGATAACAAAAATGATTTTTCAAAGATTTGTTGGAGACAAGAGGAAGATCAAAGGAGTTGGACCATTGCCCAGAGTAGATAAGATGAGGACAAAAAAAACCCATGAGAAATATTTTTGTTTCTTTGTTTGTTTTTTTCTATCAAGGAGAATGATCTTTGGACAAGGAAACTTAGAATAAAAAAAAATTAGCAGGGAGTTGAAACGTAAGATAAGACAGGAGGTGGTAAGAGAACATCTAAATGAACTCAAGTCATTTGGCCCAGATAAAGTACATTGAAAGGCACTGGAAGAAGACAGCTGTGGTTACTGAACCACTGTTTGTCATCTATGAAATAAGAGTGGACATGGAGAAATGTACTGATTTCAAAAAAGAGAAGAGAGTGGGGTCTGCCATCTATAGGTTGGTGAGCTTGTCATATTTCTGGCAAAATTCTAGAATGTATAATTCAAAGGCTGGTTTTGTGGACATTTAGAAAAGGAAGTGAAGATTCCTAAGGACTAGCATGATTTTTATCACCAGACTATGCCAAACCAACTTATTCTATTTTTTGACTAAGTTATTAGCCTAGTACATATGACAGTTATTGGATCTGTTTTTCAAGGTAATATAATAGCATTTTATACCTGGATTTCAGTAAAGTATTTGACACAGTCTCACATCCTATCCCTGTAGAAAAGATGGAGAGATGCGGGCCAGATGATAATATAGTCAGGTAGATTTGGAATTGTTTGAATGATTATATGCAAAGATTGATCACTAAAAAGATTAATGTCAGCTTGAGAGGAAGTCTCTAGGGGAGTGCTCTAGGGATATGTTTGGCCCTGTGTTTATCATCATTTTCATCAACAATATAAATGAAGTCATAGGTTATCAGAATTGTAGATGACACAAAGCTGTGATTGATAGCTAACTCTTTGGATGACAAAATCATGAACTAAAAAACATCTTGACTGGCTAGAATAATGGTCAGAATCTAGTAGGGTGACATATAATTGAGATAAAGGTAAAGTCATGCTTGGGTAAAAACAATGAATTGTATGATAAGGAAGATGTGGCTATACAAAAGTTCATGCAAAAAATCTGGGGGTTTCAATAATTACAAGGTAAGTATGAGTCAATGGTATGATACACATTGTGAAAACAAACAAACAAAAAACCAAAAACACCTAATAGAAATCTTAGGCTTCATATGTCCAGAATGACAGAGAAGATAGTTCCAACTTATACTAGATATACATACACACACATACAGAAATACACACATACATATTATTCTGGAGTGTTATGTTCAGTTATAGACAAAACATTTTAGGAAAGATGTTGACAAACTGGAGTTTGGTGAAAGGGAGAGTGAGAAGAATGTTGAAAGGACCATCACCAATACTGTATGAGTATATGTTGAAGGAATAGAGGATGCTTAGCCCAGAGAAGAGTAGTGGAGGTCTGGAATACAATAGCTATCAGCAAATATTTGAAGGGAACCCCACAGCTCACCTCACTGTCCCAGGATCTTTCCCCAAGTAAATAGGATGCCCTCTTATTTATATATTATTTGGTTGATTTGCTTATTTTTCCTTTTTAATGATGTTATTGATTGTTCCTAATCTAGAGACTCTCCCACTCCATTCTTCTAAATATTTTAAAATATTTTAACGAATATTTCAATTGAAATATTTACATATTTTTAAAATTTATTTTTAAAAAAATGAACACACATTTAAAAATCAGAGAGAACAAATTTTTAAAAACTTGTTTAGTGCTAATAGATGTGGAACTTTTTCCTTTTGGCCCTTCTGTTTTCATTGCTGCCAGACTTTCCCATGCTCTACTTACTGCTGCTTTTTTCTTCTTCTCCTGTTTCTTCTTGGAACGTTGATCCAACAGCTTTATACCCTGGGATTTCCCCACTCTGTCTTATGGTCACTCCTGTATTTATTTATTCCATCGGTGTCACAAAACCTTCACAACACCCTATTTAGACAAATACTCATCTACCTACTTCATAGCTAGGTTAACTGATCCACGAAGAAATCCTTTTTTTTAATGGTCTAAGGATTGTCACGAAATTACTTTGCAATCTCAAATCACAAGCCCTGAAGGGTAGACTCTGCCATGATAGCACTTCTTGTCGCCTTTGTTCCTTTGGATGGGAAGATGAATGTGCACGTTGGATCAGTGCTTAGACCTCCTTAGAAAAGTAAGAAGGGGCAGCTGGGTGGTGCGCTGGAGAGAGCACAGGCCCTCGATTCAGAAGGACCTGAGTGCAAATCCGGCCTCAGACACTCACTACCTGTGTGACCCTGGGCAAGTCACTTAACCCCATTGCCCAACTAAAAAATTAAAAATAAAAATAAAAATAAATAAAAGTAGGAAGAAAAAAAATGGTGAAAATTTCACAGAATGGCATGTATCATAGAATCACAGAATTTCAAGTTTTAAAGGACATGAGTAACCATTTCATCCTATTCATACCTCAATGAGAATCTTTTCTATCATCTACTCAATAGATGGTCATTTGACCTTTGCTAGAAGAGGAGGACCTCTGTTGATGAGATTCCTACTACCTCCTAAAACAGCCCATTCTCCTTTCAGATAGTTCTAATTGTGAGAAAGTTTTCCCTAAATTTTCAACCCTAAGGCTACCTCTTTGCAATTTCTACCCATTGTTACTAGTTCAAAACAGAATGAGTTCTAGCATCATAGATTTGGAGCTGGAAGAGACCTCAGAACTTATCTAGTCCAAATCCTTCATATTACAGATGAGGAAACTGAGTCTCAGAGAAGTAATAAACTTGCCCAAGGTCACACTGGTTCTACCATGGACAGATTTATATACACTTATATCCAATCAGCAGCTTTGAACTTTAGTACATCATCATATGCCTGAGATGAAACTAAGTAAACAAATTACTGAATGAGTAAACAAATGCATACACAAATAAGCAAATAAATAAGTGAATGAATGTTAGTCCTCAGGGAAATGAGCCAGCAGGCTAAAAAAAAAAAAAGGAGATGGAGTTTAGGACTTTTTTTTTTAAAGTTTATGGTTCAGTTTTCAAGGGGATTTGGATTAGTAGCTAAATTTGTTATGTGCCTCAGTTAGTTTCTTGACTTCTCAGTTTGTGAGAGCATTAAAAATCGAGGCAATTTTAGAGAAAAGGGAAATAGAATATCAGTAAATGCAGCCAGAGGCCAAGGGAGGTATTTTGTATTAGTGAATGGTGAAATGAGTGAATTCAGATCACAAATTTGAAGATTTTTTTGGAACTAATTAGTAAGTCTGTCAAGACAAAATACTGGTAGCATTTAGTGGAATGGGTTTAGATTTTAGGCCCACAAGCACAATTTTGGAAAGATTGTTCATTTTCACTTCCCAGGCTATTGTTCCTAAAAACCCTTCTTACCCAGCAACAGCAAGGATTCTTTTTCTCTGAAGCACCCTTCTTCCTTTTACCCCCCAACTTATCTGAGTTCTTTAAAGGACACACCAGCAGCTTCTTTGGAAGATTTATGGAAGTCCATGGTTAAGAACTGAAGAGCGTGAGTTGGTATGGGTTAGATATAATACAATCCATGGAAAGAAATACCCATAACAATGAAATCCATTTGAATTACATTTTTTTTAATAAATATGTCATGGTGATGTATAGTACTAATATGTATTAATATGTTTAAGAGCTAGG